GATGCCGCTGGGGGGCCGAGGAGGAACAGAGACTAGGGGCATACGGGGCTGGACTGCAGCTGAGAGAAACGAGGCGGGGAGGGAAAACCCTGGCGGCGCCCTGTGGGAGAGACTCAGTAACTGTGCTTGCTTAGCAGACTTGGCAGCCGGTCTAGCTTGCTTGAAGAGGTGGTCCCAGAGGCTGGAACGCAGAGAGGTCCTCACTCTCTCAGGTACCATGTGGGAAGTTAGGTGTGGCAGCTGCAGCTACAGCGGCTTATTAAAGGCCTTCTCTATGGTTCCTCACAGCAGGCCCCCAAAGACACGAGGAAGTCTGTGGTTTTATTTTCATGATGGATGGTAGTTGAATCTGACGGTATCCCCACTTAGTTCAGGGCAGACCCGACTTAAATAGGGAGAGAGGAGGGTCTGGGAAAGGAATACATAAGTGGCCACACCCTCTGGCCTTTAGATATCTCATTAATATGGAAATCTCCCGAGGCCCTGAGACCTGTAGTCAGGCCCTCTACCTGTGGAGGGGCTGGTAGGAGCATTGCCCTATGTGACTGAATGGGGTAGATCAAATGGAGGTCTTAGACTATGTGTCAGGAACCTTGGTGGCCAAACACCTGCCGTTGTCCCATCAGGGTCTGGGGTTCGAGGCCTGTGCCCAACCAAGAACCTGGGAGAGAGAAAGAGAGAGAGAGAGAGAGAGAGAGAGAGAGAGAGAGAGAGAGAGAGAGGGAGGAAGAGGAGGAGGAGGAGGAGGAGGAGGAGGAGGAAGAGGAGGAAGAGATTGGGTCTGAGGAAGCCCACCCTCAGTAAGTCCACTCCTCCAACAAGGCCACACCTCCTCTGAGAAGCCACACCTTCTAGCCTCTCCCAAACAGTTCACTCCTTGATGACTAAGCATTCACATATATGAGCCTACATGAGCCACTCTCATTTACAGAAGGATAAGGATCTGTGACCTTGTTGGAGGATGTGTGTCACTGGGGGTGGGATCTGAGGTTTCAAAAGCCCATGCCAGGCCTAGTCTGTCAGTCTGTCTGTCTGTCTGTCTGTTTCTCTCTCTCTCTCTCTCTCTCTCTCTCTCTCTCTCTCTCTCTCTCTCACTCTCCTTGCTTGTAAATCAGATGATAAGTTCTTAGCTACTGCTCCCACTATGCTCCAGCACAATGGTCCCCACCATGGTGATCAAGGAAGGACTAACCCTCTGAAACTGTAGTAAACCCCAATTAGATGCTTCCTTTTATAAGTTGCCTTGGTCATGATGTCTCTGCATAGCAATAGAACAACAGCAACTAAGACACCATCTCACCAGCCCCTTCCTAAAAATGATTCTTTAAACCCCAGTGAAATAGACAAAGCGAGTGTTGGTTGACTCCTTGCTTGTTTGCCCGATCTATTTTTACAATCAACCAACTGTTGTAGGTTGAAGAACCTGCTTACTACAAGTTGTCCGGAGGCAGGGATGAAACTGAAGCCCATGAATCCACCTAACTTTCAGCCCATGGTGATCCTTAGCTCAAGGGAGGGCATCCCAGCGCTCTACCTCTAACCCAGAGGTAGGCATCTCAGACATGACAGAGTAGGTAAAGACTGAAAAGCAAGCGCCAAGAGGATAGCAACCACCCTGCTCCAGTGCCAGGGAAGTCTCAGAGAGCCTCTCAGGCCCACTTTACAGCCCTGTGCTGGTAGTACAGGCAGCTGAAAGAGCTTGGTTAGACTGGGTTGGATCTGTGAGGGTTAGCTGACTTCCCTAGGCCACAGCCAGATTGTCAGAGATGACTAAAATGCAGGCTAACCCAGACCTACAGGCCAGGATAAGTGGAGAAGCCCAAATAGGGGTGACAAAGGCAGGTCTGGAACCCAGAAAGCCATGTAAAAGTGAGGCTGGAGCACGCATACCATGATGGACTTTTCCCATAATTCCATGCTCATGTTAGATGGTAAAGCACACGCATGTCACCATGGCCACAGGGATTCCTGGGTGTCTACTTCTGAGGCCTAATAGAAAGCTTGGATCTGTGGCCAGCTTGATCCCTCTACACTCTGGTCCTTCAGGGAATTTCTATCCTGTTCTCTCTTACTCTCACCCAGGGTGTTAGGTGTGTGTTTGTGTGATGGTTGATTTTTAACAGTCAATTTGACACAATCTAGAATCATCGGGGAAGAGTGTCCCTAAGAGGGGTTGTCTAGATGAAGTTGGTGTGTGGGCATGTCTGCGGGGGATTGTCTTGACAGCAGAGATGGGAAGACCCAGCCTGAGTCAGATAGGCATGTCT